GGTCGGGGTGGGGAGTGTGTGTGTTAGGGGCTGTGTTAGGGTCGCTGAAGGAGGAACGCAGGAGGCCAAGAAGGGTAAAGGATTATACATTCATTCTTACATCCGCTAGCAGAAGGGCTGAGACCTAAATGGCACCAGCGGGGCAGAGCAGGGGGAGCGGGGTGTTTAGGTCCCTTGCAAGGGTCAGTCCAGGACCAGGTGCAGGCGGTCCACTGGAAGCCAAGGCCGCTCACCTGAGACCTATAATGAGAATAACAGGACAGTCGTCCGGGGTGGCGGTGGGGCGAGAGCCCCAGCCGAGCCGAATGGGGTGCAAGAATGTGCCCGACCGGGTGGCGGTTAGCAATTTGTTACTCCTCCCGCCAACTCCGGAGGGGGGGCGGTGGGGGAGGGGGGCTGCCCCCTTTCGGCCTGGGAATGGACGGGTCACCTCTTTCACGTGGCGAGCTGACCTTCCTTAGCCCTGGGGCCAGAGTGACCTCCACCTCCCACCTAGGTCACAGGTTCTGGGAACATAAGCCCGTCCCCTCCGGGAGCCCAGCACCCTGCTCCGGGTCTGGGAGGCCGCCTGTTGACCTGGACGCGGGGGTAGCGCACAGCGCCCGGGTCGTGGGATGGGACTGTGCCAGACGGCGCTTCTGTACAGTTAGCCTTCGCTCAACACCTCCCTTCCCGCTGAGCAACATTTTAAACTAGCCCTTTCCGGATGCCAGGGCTGCCCCTTGCCCCTCCCCAGCAGGTTCGCTGTCAGAGCTTCAGTTCCATCCAGACACCCTGGCCTTGGAGGGGTGGGGTGGCGGGGGGGGAGGGTGCCCCAGGCCCAAACGCGATGCCTGCCTGTCAGAGGTTGAATCAGCGTAGCTTGTGGTTTAAGAGCACAGTTTAAATCCAGGCCCCAGGGTAGCTGAGTTAATTTCTCTCTGCCTCACTTTCCTTATCTGTACCTGGGAGAGAATTAAATGAGATGATGCCTGACTTGGGCATGGAATAGGGCTCCAAATGGGAGCAGCTCCCTAACTTCTTGCACCCTCAAAAAAGAACAGGCATTGCAAAGGAGGGCCTGCTGTGTGGTTGAGGGGGGTATTGGGGGAGGGGAGGAGGAGCTCTCTTCCCTCTCGGGGGCAGTTGGGGTGCTCTGGGTTTGTGCACAGGGTTGACACGGCCAAAGACATTTATGCTGCTCTTCCCAGGAGCCTCCTTCTTGGTGCACTGACCCCTCCTTTCTCAGGCTCACCTTTGTCCGAACTGGTGGCCCCTTTTAAAGCTGAGCTCTGCTAAACACAAACTTCCCGGTGGAAGACCTGGGAAGTCTCACTAACTCCCGTGAAGGTCCTCATGAAGATCCTTGAGTAGTACTGTTATAACCGTGGTTTTGAAATCTGTACCCAGTGGTTTGCTAGCTTCCCTTTCTTTCACTTGTGACATGTTTCTTTGTCTCCGCGTTTTGGCTGCTTCTCTGTGTTTGTTTCTGTGCATTAGGCAGAGCTGCTACGTCTCCTGGAGTTGGTAGAGTGGCCTGGTGCAGCAGGTGTCCTGTAGGGCCCAGTGGCTCAGCCTCCTGAGCCCCTGTGTGGGCCGTGTGCACAGTGTTGTAGTTGAGCCTTGACTGCTGTTGGCCTCACTGGGAGGAGTTGACCATGAGGCCAGTCGGCTGTGAGGACCAGCTGCGACTACAGTGGGAGAACGGCTGTGCAGGAGACACCCCTATGGAGCAGGACTTGCTTCCGTGGAGCTTTGGTGCTCACTGAGGCTGCCCCTCGAGTGTGTTGCTTGTGGATGTGCAGAGTTGTAATCTGCTGTGGTCTGAAGCTGTCCACTGGGTGGGTCTAGGGCAGGGGTGGGCAAACTTTTTGACTCGAGGGCCACAATGGGTTCTTAAACTGGACCGGAGGGGAGTGATAGGTTTGGGGCATGCTGACACCAGCTGCATCTTGTTTGAGAGATTTTAGCAAAGTCTGAAACCTGAGCCAGGACAGGCCTTTCACATGGAAAAGCTACTGCAAACGGCTTGGGTGGGGCTGCAAATTGGATGGGGTGGGGTCTCAGGGAATCACGGGGGTGGAGCAAACAGTGTACTCCAGGTTGATGGGGACTCAGATATGGCTGCCAGTCAGCCCTGCAATGAGAGTGGTGCCAGCACAGGAACAATGATCCCTGTGAGCACCTCCATCTGGTAGAAAGCTGTCCCAAGTTCCTCCCCCGATGCCAGACAATCCAGATCCTCCCCATATGTGTCTGGGTCCCCCAACACCTCCTGGCCCTGGAACTCAAAGGAAGTGAGTCCGAGTAAGTTCATGCTTGGCCCTTTAAGAGGGACACCTGGGTCTCTGGCAGCTTCTGTGTGTCTCAGCCCCAAACCCCGCTGATTCTTATGGCCCAAAGTTATGGGGACTTATTTTCCCAGCTCTGGGACCCTGGGTTGGGGGGCTGGTGTGGGGCTGGGACCCCTTGCTCCTCATGGCGGCCTCCGCAGCCCACGTGGGTGCTGGACCAGCTGGTTCCCTGTCTCTGTCCCTCCTACCAGTCTCAACCTGCTTTCTTCTTCTCTAGTTGTAGGACTTCCATTTAGCCAGCCTTCAGGTGGTTCTGGATGATGGAATTACACCTGTATTTTAGGTGTAATTTTGATGTGTTTGTGGGAGGTGGCGAGTGCGGGCGTTTCCCTCCACCACCATCTGGGTTCCCCTCCTGAGCTGCTCGTGTTTAAGAAAACAAGAGAAAACTGGCTTTGGATTCTCCCCTGCCCCGTAATTCTACACGAGGTTTCTTAAAAGGAAGCATTGCTTCTCGGCTCCCCTCCTGCTTCCGTACCCACGTTGGGGGCATCTCAGCTCAAGGAGAGAGGTGGTGGGGCCCTTCGGGGGGGCGGGCGGGGAGCGGGAGGAAAGCAGCCTCTGCCCCTCCTTCCTGACCCCCTCGAAGAGGCAGTTGGGTTCCATGTTCTTTGGCGTGAGGCCAGGGGCCAGCTCCTGAGTGGCTCAGGGTGGCCCTGTCTAAGCCCTGGCTCAGCCGCAGGGAGGAAGGGGAGAACCCACAGGAGAGGAGGAGCGGGGCTGCGTTTGGGCAGGTAACCGGGTCCTGTGGCCGCGCAGTTTCTCCCTGATCCAGGAAGGCCGTGACTTACACTGTGAGCCCAGAAAAGGCCACTTGTAAGGGGACTGTTGGTACCGGAATTGGGTTGGAGGTGCGGACTTGTGGGGACGGTATGCGGTGGGTGGATGGTGTGCGGACTTGTGGGGACCGTGTGCGGTGGGTGGATGGTGTGCGGACTTGTGGGGACCGTGTGTGGTGGGTGGGCGGTGTGCGGACTTGTGGGGAC